GCCTGGCCAACATGGTGAATCCCTGCCTCTACAAAAATACAAAAATTAGCTGGGTGTGGTGGCGTGTGCCTGTAATCCCAGCTGCTTGGGAGGCTGAGGCAGGAGAATCACTTGAATCCAGGAGGTGGAGGTTGCAGTGAGCCAAGTTTGTGCCACTGCACTCCAGCCTGGGCAACAGATCAAGACAACCATCTCAAAAAAAAAAAAAACAAAAAAGAAAACAGAAATGAAGAAAGCCAAGTGGGAAATGATGGATGAGAAAATGTAGCTCAGTGAGCAACAGTCAGTCAGTTGTTAGCCAATAAGGTTTAAACCTTTTGTGTCTGTAGAAAGTTACCTAAGTTGTAAAGTTTGGTGTTTTATTGGATGAGAAATTATGGCAAATATAGATAAAAACAATTTGTGAAAAGAACTTATCGGAAGTTGTGATCTTCATATTTAAAGGCTAGTTTGCTCAGCTTTTGAATACCAATCAAAGAAGTATTTATTGACCTACTGTGTTCTGAATATAGTGCCAGTACTCCAAGGGATATATGTATGAAAAAGAAAAAGTTTCTGACTTCAAGTTTTTAACTTAGCAGCAGAGGAAATAAGGCCAAGTGTAATTAATAAATGTAGTATAAAACATAACAAAAGTAGTGCCTGAGGAAGATACTTGAATGTGTTATTGCTTCAAGGGACAGAATTTTTACCAGTTGGTGGTAATGGATGCCCTTCAGGGTAAAGGAACCGTTTCTAGTTTTTTCAATGCTTTCCTCCCAAGGCCTGATATAGTGCCTACTATTTGTTGAATTACTTGGTTAAGGAATTATATATGAGTTCTTCTGATGCACTCTGTGTCTTCTAATGCATTCTTGTCTTTTTTTATGTCTGATCCTAGCTGCTTAGTCTCTTTTCTTCTTTCATGTATACCCATCGCCAAACACTGTCATTTGACTTTCTCTGTGAAAGCCTGGCATTGGAAAGCGTTGCTACCTCCTAATGAAGATAAAGACAACATTTTGATTTTAAGGGTTTCTACCTGCTATTATAGGATGAATAATAATAGTATTTAGTTTTTATTGTTTCCTTACTGTGTCCCAGGCACTTAAATGTACTTAATCTTATAGTAATCCTTTGAGGTACTTATTATTGTTATCTTTGTGTTTCACATATGGCTCAGAGAAGTTTTTAAGTTACATAGATAGGGAGTGGCAAAAGTAGAATTCAGTCATTATCTGCCTGTTCTTAAGCTGCTATGCCATACTGTTACTAAAACAGATGAACAAAGAGTAATACAAATAGCAAAATCACCATTACAAAGTTTATAACACTTTTATATTAGTGATCTCAGGTCTGTTGCTCTTAGATTCCTTCCACTGTGGTAAAAAGGAAGGAGCTATTTGTCTTTCCCCCTCTGTTTTAGTAATTGGGTTTCTAGTCTTTCCCACTCATATTGTCATTTAGTCATGTAAGTATACTATCAAAGCACTATTGTAGAAAAATTTGACAAAAAGAAAAATAAAATACCTTCAATCTCAGCACTGACGGGTTGTTGAATTTTTTTATCAATCATTTTTCCAAAGCATGTATAGGATTTCTAAAAAAATTCTTTGGTCGGGTGCAGTGGCTCACGGCTGTAATCTCAGCACTTTGGGAGGCCAAGGCAGGCGGATCACGAGGTCAGGAGATCGAGACCATCCTGGCTAACATGGTAAAACCCCCTCTCTCTACTAAAACTACAAAAAATTAGCCAGGCGTGGTGGCAGATGCCTGTAGTCCCAGCTGTTCGAGAGGCTGAGGCAGGAGAATGGCGTGAACCCAGGAGGCGGAGCTTGCAGTGAGCTGAGATCACGCCACTGTACTCCAGCCTCGGGTGAAACAGCAAGACTCCGTCCTCAAAAATTATTTTGAGCCGGTGCGGTGGCTCACACCTGTAATACCAGCACTTTGGGAGGCGCAAGAAGGCTGAGGCAGATCACAAGCGTCATGGACGTTCCAGACCAGTCTGCCAACAAGTAAACCTGTCATACATAATAACTAAAATACAAAAAATCTAGCTCTGGTGGTCGTAGTGGTATCCTGTAATCCCAGCTAGCTTGGGAGGCTGGAGGCAGGAGAATCGGCTTGACCTGGCGAGGCACGAGATTGCCGCGTGACCGCGAGAGCTTGCACCATTCGCACTCCAGCCCAGGCGACAGTGCCCGCAGACTCATGAGATTTCCACAAATATATATATATATATTCAAATATTATTTATTATATATAATTTATTTATTATTATATATATTTTAATCCTTGCATACTTAAAGTTTATCATATTTAACATGAAAATATGTGATTACATGCAAAAACATGTAGGATCCTTTTAATATATAAGTAATGGAAGTGATACTGTAAAAAATATATATATAGTCCTATTTTTCTGAATTATAAGAGGAGAGTGTCTTTATCTCCCTGCTTTTTAAGAAAGTAACATTTTTCTTAATATATATTTATTATACAAAATGTTGAAATGTGAAGAAAGCCAAACACAAATTTTCCTAACTCTACCATCAGCTATTCTTAATAGAAAAACTTCCTCCAGGGATTAGGCAGCATTGTGGCTTCTCATAAAACCCAGAATTGGCCACTTACTAATGGTGTACCATAAGACAGAATGTTTACTCTAGGAAAGCCTCAGTTTCTTTGGCTATAATGAAAGTAATACTGATGTTTGTATACCAGACTTATACTGTGTGGTTATATTAGTCACACTGTGCTTTGCATCTTCTTGTTATGATTATTATTCTGTGTGTATGTATATTTATGTATCATATATATGTCTGAAGCCTTATATATAAAAGATATGCTTGTGTATATCTGTGTATTTATACAGTACATATTTTTATATAGTTGAGTCCTTATATATAAAATATATACGTGTATATATATTTATATATACCTATATTTTTATACTCTATAGGATTTTATATTATGTTTTAAATTCTGCTTTTGTCACATAACAGTTAATATAAGAATATTTCCCCATACTAACATAGTGTGTAAACATTGTTTTTAATGTATATGGATTATTGCATGGTTTTTGTCATAGTTTATGTTTCTCACCATTCTTCTATTGCTGTTTTTTGCTTTCTGTTTTTTGTTTATTTTTTTGAGACAGGGTCTTGCTCTGTCATCAAGGCTAGAGTACAGTGGCACAAACATGGCTTACTGGAGCTTTGAACTCCTGGGCTCAAGCAGTCCTCCTACCTCACCTTCCCCAGTAGCTGGGATTGTAGGCACATGCCAGCATGCCCGGCTAACGTGTTTACTTTTTGTGAAGACAGGGTCTCGCTGTATTATCCAGGCTGGTCTCGAACTCTGGAGCCTCAAGTGATCCTCCTACCTTGGCCTCCCAAAAATCTTGTTCTAAAGAGAAAGGCAAGTTTCACCTTTGCATTAGTGTATTAGTAACGTTAAACCCAATTCTTAATAAGACCTTATAAACAAATCTATTCAATCTTAATTAGTTTAATCATAAGGTAAATTTTTAATAAACCTTTTTTAATCTTTTACAATTTTCTGCTAAGCAGTAGATTAATTCAGTAAGAAAACCATGTTATTCAGACACATGAGCCCAGATTTTGGCCCTGCATTAGTGTGCTCTTATTTTAGTGTTCAACATACAGAAAAATTAAATAATCCCCTTCAAATCTTAGCAAACTTGCCTATACCTACAGAACTTCCTTTATAAGATCAACCCTTCACAAACCCTTTACACCTTGCTTAAACCTTCAGTTTTGTCCCATTACTCTTTTAGGTTAAGACAATTGTTAAAACCCTCTGAGCTAGACAGAATTTCATTTCCTTTAACCAAAACCATATTCCCATGCCTTCTTATAGCCTCCCACCAAAACCACATTCTTTTTTCCTTCTACACCTTGCATATAAAACTGTTTTTCCAGTAGTCTCAAGTGCATGCTGCACTGTTAACTTTTAGCAAATTTTATTTTTGGTGAGAAACCTGGTAAACAAGCAATTTTAGCCATGTATAATATTGCAGAACCCATGACTTTTCCCAGCCTAGCCAGGGGACCTGCCTAACTCCATATGTCTCCAGGCCTTACCTAGAATCTATTGGCTGTAGAACAGACAAACAATTAGTAAAAGTCACAGAAGCAGTTTATCACCTTAAAACATCCAGCAAACAGTGTTTGACCTGCCAAATTTAGACTAAATATATAAACTTTGAAGACATTTTCATTTTACTTTACCAATAATCTTCTGGGTTTTTTTTATTTACAAAAAGATTATTAGAATCATGAGACCTACAGGCATTAAAGTTTCCATTTTTCTGACAATGTTTGATTCAAGTGCTTGTTTTTCTTTAAGCCAATTAACTGGAGCTCTGTATATAAACATCACACACTCAACACATATAAATACACAGAAACAGAATCAAGACAAAATTCCATTGACTGAGAAGGTTTTGGAGGGAAGGCTGGAGCTTTCAAACAACATCTATACATATAGCCCAAATATCAGCTTTAATTAAGTCGATTTCTAACTATGGAGCTCTCAAGAGAAAAGTTCTTTTAAAATCTTTTATTACCAGATTTCAGTGAGGACAAACTCCGCCTTTTGAATCCTTTTACTAGAGGTAACCTTCTATGTGAAATCAATAAGCCTTAACTAAGGGGATGACTTAAACAGGGATGCAGGAGGTGTCTCCAAAGAGATGGTAAACGATTTATAAGATCTAGAATATCCCCCAGGCCAGCCGCTGTGGCTCACACCTGTAATCCCAGCACTTTGGGAGGCTGAGGCAGGTGGATAACCTGAGGTCAAGAGTTCAAGACCAGCCTTACCAACATGGCAGAACCCCGTCTCCACTGAAAATACAAAAATTAGCCGTGAGGCACAGTGGCACACACCTGTAATGCCGCTACTCGGGAGGCTGAGGCAGGAGAACTGCTTGAACCCGGGAGGCCAAGGTTGCGGTGAGCCAAGATTGTGCCACTGCACTCCAGCCTGGGTGATAGAGAGAGACTCCATCTCAAAAAAAAAAAAAGAAAAAAAAAATCTAGAATATCTCCAAAGGTGTAGTTCAGAGAAAAAATTCAAGATAAGAAATGAGAAGCTGTGCATGGAAAGGAAAAGAATCAATAAATGGCAAAAGTTCCACAAGTATTAAACCAAAAAGGACTTGCTCCCAAAGCCTAGAATTGAACCCAAGCCACCCACCACTGTGGGAGGGCAAAGCCTTTGCAACTGACCTGCAGTACAAGGTGACTGCTGTTGTCTTTCCCAGAAGGAGTCTAGAGCATTTTCAAGCTTGCAAAGGATTTTAACTGCTCAAGAGAATTTTCTAAGACTAACCACGTCATTATTATGCATCCTTCTTTTAATTTAACCTTTTTCTTTCATTGAGGTAATCAGTTCCAATAGTGACTCAATCTAAGAAACCTATTAAAGTCTAGAACGTAATTTTCCAGTTTTTTTTTTTTTTTCCTTTCTTTTTACATTAGAAGCAAAAGGTATCTAGGGTAGAAGAGGCATCTCCATGATCCCCAAGAATTCACTCTCAGAAATGGGCTTAAGATAGCAAAAGATGACAAAAGCCCTATAGAGATGGGACCTTTTCAGACAAAACTCACCCAAGGGCTTGACAAATATTTGGGATGAAGAATGTGCTGACTCATCTCAGACTCCCAGCACTTTCAGACTGGGTGCCTGACATGAACTTGAAAATTCTTGTTCTCTGGATGGTGGAGACCAAGAGAGCGTATCCCCACATGGTCACAAAGTCATGCTTTCAAGGATGTAAAACAAGATTAGAGGGAAGCCTCATTTAGTTTTTGTTTCAGAGACCCACAGCAAAGTTTATAACTGACCCATCGAGAAGTACACCAGAATCATTGCAACCTCAGAGTAACCTCTCACAGGTCCTTTTTCTTATTAATCAACAGTGATTTTTACCATTCACTTATCTGATTTGCTCAGAGAGAGAGAGAGGCCAGAAGCCTCACCGGTAGGAAATTCTTACCTTTTGTCAGCACGGCAGGTTTCTGATTTCCCTTTCCCTGAGCGGCCCTGGCAGTGTTGCTCACCGCACCATAGTCACAAAGGAAAATTACTTTTGTGTGTTTCATGGAACCATAGGCAAAAACTTCTCGACTTTGTCAGATGTCACCCAATAGGCTGTACGGGGGAGCGAGGGAGAGGGGCGAGAGACCACCAAATTAACATTCTTTATCTCAACCTGGTGAAACACATATAACAAAACAGACAGTAGTCACTTTGCTCAGCACCTAATACTGACTTGTCAAGGCTCAAACTTTTTCCAGTGCGTCCCTGTCATCTTTGATCCACTCAACGTAGGGAGCGATGACCTCTGACTGGGAATTCATTGGGTGATGTCTGGACAATGTGAAGAGCAGACAGTCACCCCAGGTCAAACCTGTTGAACTTCCTTCACTGCTCAGCTAATGTGATCAAATAAGGAAGGTTCTCCAAGTTAGGTCTGCTGGACTTCCATCACCAATTCCTTTAGAGATCCCCTCTAGATGTACAAACACACACATACAACAAAGACAAGATGGACAGAAGGTCTCCCAAACCAAGATTCCTAAGCAGGAATTCCAAGAGTATGCTTTTCAAAGTAACCTATTCTCTGAGAAATCTCCCTGAAATCTTCCTTATTGAGGAGAAGTCTCCCCAACCAAGACTCTTCATACTAATTAGGGAGAGCCAATCTTGATCCCCGAAGGGGCCAAACTTAGATCCCTTAAGAAGCCAAACCAAGTAGGAGAAGGAAGGAGGCATTGGCACCACCTAGAATACCCACCAGACCAGTTTAGAGATGTCTTTACAGGAACAATTTCTCTACTGCAATTAAATCCATGCACCATGGGCCAGCAGTGTGTTGCTGGTAGAGATAGTGCCAGCGTCAGCCCCCAGTCCAGGAGAACTATGCAGCCACTTGGGCTGGCCTCTGGATCTGTTGCTGGTGGGGGACTGCCAAACCGTGGGCAGGTAGCCACAAGGGTGATCCCAGACAAGCCTCCAAATTTGTAACCATCCAGGGGTTCTTCCTGCCCACTGCATAAAGACAGACCATGGTATTGTAGTAGAGAAAAAGTTCAATAGACACAAGGTCAGCCACCCCATGTGGGAGTTGGAGTTCATACTCAAATCATCTCCTTTAAAGCTTGTAGGTTAGGGGTTTTTTAAAGGCAGTTTGGAGGAAGGGGTGGGGTGGCCAGGTAGCAGGTACTTGCGGCTGATTAGGTGGGGTAGAAATCATAGGGGGTTGAAGCTGTCCTCCTGGGGCCAAATCGCTTCTGGATGGGGCTACAGGAGTGGGTTGTCAGTCCAGGTGGAGCCAAGGGTGTCAGACATGCAAAAAACCTGGAAAGATATCTCAAAATGCCAGTGTACAATAGTGGTGTTATTTGCAATCGGGAAAGTTTCATTTCTTGTAACCTCCAGAATAATGTCTGCGCCTTAGCAGGACTCAAACTCCTCTCCTCGTTTCAGCCTGATGGCTTCCTTTTAGCTTTACAAAAGCAGTTGAGTTTTGGGCAAGGCCTATTATCATTTAAACTGTAGCCTGGGCCACCAAGACTGTGTCCACCCTGCAAGCACAGAGCCTCACCCTCACCACTCCACCGCCCATCCACACCCGCCGCCGGTTCACCATGGATGATGATATTGCTGCGCTTGTCATCAACAACAGCTCCAGCATGTGCAAGGTCTGCTTCGCGGGCAACAATGTCCTGGGCTGTCTTCCCCTCCATCATACGGCACCCAAGGCACCAGGGCGTGATGAAGGGCATGAGTCAGAAGGACTCCTATGTGGGTGACAAGGCTCAGAGCAAGAGAGGTATCGTGACCCTGAAGTACCACGTCAAGCATGGCATCGTCACCAACTGGGATGACATGGAGAAGATCTGGCACCACACCTTCTACAACAAGCTGCATGTGGCTCCCGAGGAGCACCCTGTGCTGCTGACTGAGACCCCCCTGAATCCAAGGCCAACCACAAGAAGATGACCCAGATCATGTTTGAGACCTTCAACACCCCAACCATGTATGTGGCCATCCAGGCCATGCTGTCCCTGTACACCTCTGGCCGTACCACTGGCATCGTGATGGACTCCAGTGATGGGGTCACCCACACTGTGCCCATCTACAAGGGTTATGCTTTCCCCCATGCCATCCTGTGTCTGGACATGACTGGCCGGGACCTTACTGACTACCTCATGAAAGATCCTCACCGAGCACAGCTACAGCTTTACCACCGTGGTCGAGTGGGAAATCGTGTGTGACATCAAGGAGAAGCTATGCTATGTTGCCCAGGACTTTGAGCAGGAGATGGCCATGACGGCCTCCAGGCCTCCCTGGAGAAGGGCTATGAGCTGTCCAATGGCTAGGTCATCACCATTGGCAATGAGCTCTCCCACTGCCCCGAGGCGCTCTTCCAGCCTTCCTTCCTGGGCATGGAATGCTGTGACATCCACAAAACTACCTTCATGAAATGTGACATGGACATCCGCAAAGACCTGTATGCCAACACAGTTTTGTTTGGTGGCAACAACATGTACCCTGGCACTGCCAACAGGATGCAGAAGGAGAGCATCACTCTGGTGCCCAGCATGATGAAGATCAAGATCATTGCTCCTCCCGAGAGCGCAAATACTTCATGTGGATGGGCGGCTCTATCTTGGCCTTGCTGTCCACCTGCCAGCAGATGTGGATCAGCAAGCAGGAGTGCGGTGAGTCCGGCCTCTCCATCGTTCACCACAAATGCTTCTAGACGGAGTGTTACTTAGTTGCGTTACACCCTTTCTTGACAAAACCTGACTTGTGCAGAAAACAAGATGAGATTGTCATGGCTTTATTTGTTTTTTTGTTTTTGGTGGTGATTTTTTTTTTTTTTTTTGGCTAGCCTCAGGATTTAAAAACTGGAACAGTGAAGGTGACAGCAGTCAGCTGGAGCGAGCATCCCCCAAAGTTTTACAATGTGGCCGAGGACTTTGATTGTACATTGTTCTTTTTTCTAATAGTCATTCCAAATATTGTGAAATGCATTGCTACAGGAACTCCCCTGCCCTCCTAAAAGTCACCCCACTTCTCTCTAAGGAGAATGGCCCAGTCCTCTCCCAAGTCCACACAGGGGAGGTAATAGCATTGCTTTCATGTAAATTGTGTAATGCAAAATTTTTTAATCTTCGCCTTAATACTTTTTTGTTTTACTTTGAATGATCAGCCTTCGTGGCCCCCCTTTTTTGTCCCCCAACTTGAGATGTACGAAGGCTTTTGGTCACCCTTGGAGTGGGTGGAGGCAGCCAGGGCTTACCTGTACACTGACTTGAGACCAGTTGAATAAAATTGCACATCTTAAAAAAAAAAAACAAAAATACTGTAGCCTAAATGTCTTCCAAAGTTAGCTTGGCCCCATATCCCAGGAATAATTAAGGGAAAGGCAAGATGGGTTTTGGGTTAGCTTAGTTCACTGTTATGATGTTCTCACTAATACAACTTTTGCAAAGGTGATTTCAGTATCATAGAAGGGCCCATGTAGTAAAAGAAATAAAAATCAGTCTTGAATAATATGAACCCTTCTGCTAGATTGTCTAACGTCAACTTGTTGTTTGGCCTTGCTGCTTCTGCGTCTTGTTCCTCACTGTCTGGCACTGGTTTGGAAGCACTCATCTCCATCGAATTGTCTTCTGTTCATTCCTCTGGTATGGTGTCTGTTAGCTCTCTTGAATTTCTGCAAGATCCGTATCTTTTTTTTTTTTTTTTTTTTTTGAGATGGAGTCTTGTTCTGTCGCCCAGGCCGGAATGCAGTGGCGCGATCTCGGCAAGCTCCGCCTCCTGGGTTCATGCCATTCTCCTGCCTCAGCCTCCTCAGCAGCTGGGACTACAGGCGCACGCCGCCATGCCTGGCTAATTTTTTTGTATTTTTAGTAAAGACAGGATTTCACTGTGTTAGCCAGGATGGTCTCAATCTCCTGACCTCGTGATCTGCCCGCCTCGGCCTCCCAAAGTTGCAAGATCCATATCTGGAAAGCCTTCATCCACCATTTTTTTTTTTTTGCCGTATTTACAAACTCTTTCATGATTTCCTTGATTGGCTCTGTTGTTAAATTCTGTGCGCAACATCTGGACACAGTTTTCTCCAGCAGGAAGTTATTGTTTCAGGCTTGATGGCTTTTGTGGCTTTTTCTATAACAGCAATGGCATCTTCTATGGGGTGATTCTTCAGACTGTCATGATGTTCTCTCCACTGGGGTTCTTTTCCATAGCACTGACAATCATTTTTAAAGAATATTGTGTTTAATGGTCCTTATGGCACCCTGATCTAGAGGCTGAGTTAGAGATGTGTTTAGGGGCAATTAGACCACTTCAGCACTCTCAGTGTTAAACTCATAGGGTTCTGGGTGGCCAGGGGCATTGTCCAACATAAGAACTTTAAAAGGCAATCACTTACTGGCAAGGTACTTCTTGATTTTAGAAATAAAGCATGGGTGGGGCCAGGCGTGGTGGCTGATGCCTGTAATCCCAGCACTTTAGGAGGCCAAGGTGGGCAGATCATGATGTTAGGAGTTCGAGACCAGCCTGGCCAACATAGTGAAAACCCGTATGTACTAAAAATACAAAAATTAGCCAGGCGTGGTGACAGGTGCCTGTAGTCCCAGCCTTGAGAGGCTGAGGCGGGAGAATCCTTGAACCTGGGAGTTGGAGGTTGCAGTGAGCCTCCTGGGTGACCCAGCAAGACTCTGTCTCAAAAAAAAAAAAAAAAAAAAAGCATGAGTAGATTCAATCCAGAAAAATAGTTTTTGTTTTTCAGGCTTTCTTATTGTACAATCAGAAGACTTGCAGGGGTGGTGTTTATCTTTTTTCCTTCAAGGTCCAGAGGTTAGCAGCTCTATATATAAGGGTAGTTCTGATCTAATCCTGACTGCATTTACACGAAACAGTGGAGTTAGCTTATCCCTTCCTGCCTTAAATCTTGGTGCTTGCTCCTCTTCCTTACTAATAAGTGTACATTGTGGTGTCTTTTTCCACAATAGGGTACTTTCATCTGCAATAAAAACCTGTTCAGGCAGGTATCTTTTGTCCCCTATGATTTTCTTGATCGTGTCTAAGAACTTGTGTATTGCCTCTGGGTCAGCAAAAGCTGTCATCTTGATATTTTTTAAGCTATAACTCTTTCTAAAATTATCAAACCATCCTTTCTTAGCATTAAATTCTCCAGCTTTAGATCCTTTACCCTCCGTTTGCTTTAAGTTGTCATATAATGACTTCATTTAAAAAATAGTAATATTAGAGTCTATAGTTAGAGCTTTCTTACAGCAACCCTGTACCCACATAAGAGCTGCATTTTCATTATGACATTTAAAAGGTATTCTGCAAAAGTGCATGGTTTTCACACCTAGTGGCATTGCTGCAGTGACAGCTTCACAAATTTCCTTTTCTTATTTTACAACGGTCCTCATGGTGGATTCATTGATCTTGAAATGATGGGTAACCACAGCTACTTAATCTATGGTCTATATCAAGCCATTCAAGTTTTTCTTGTAATGTCTTAACTTCTCTCTACTTTTCTTGAGAGCATTTCCAGCATCACTAGTGGTACTCCATGTGGGTCCCACGATATTATTCAGGGTTTGCTGTATCACACTAACCATGATGAAAAATACATGAGAACCTTTAGACATCAGTTTCATTTGTTATCTTTTTGTCTTTTTGTTTTATTAGAGACAGAGTCTCACTCTGTCACCCCGACTGGAGTCCTTGGTGCAGTCATAGCTCACTGCAGCCTCAACACCTGGGCTTGAGGGATCCCCCTGCCTTAGCCTCCCAAGAAATTAGTTGTTTTTTTTTTTTTTTGAGATGGAGTCTCGCTTTGTTGCCCAGGCTGTAGTGCAGTGGCGTGTTCTCGGCTCACTTCAAGCTCTGCCTCCCAGGTTCACGCCATTCTCCTGCCTCAGCCTCCCGAGTAGCTGGGACTACAGGTGCCCGCCACCAGGCCCAGCTAATTTTTTTTTTTTTTTGTATTTTTAGTAGAGACAGGGTTTCACTGTGTTAGCCAGGATGGTCTCGAAAAGAGAGTAGTTTTTAACTGAGATACGCTGTTTATTGGAGAGTGGAACTGCTCGTGCAGAGATGATTAAGTTGGCAGGGTGTTTGAAGTACATACTTGCAGCACTTGAACTCTGGGCAATAGCAACAGGAAGTGGCTACAAAACTATTACAGTAGTACAGTAGGAACTACAGCTAGTTTTATGCAGTTATAATCATAACTATATTATGTTATAACTATATTAAGTGTTATTTAAACTATATTAAACTATATTAATATGTCATAAGTATATTAAATACAAACAAATGTATTTAATACTATATATTTGTTAACATTTCTCTGGGCTGCGAATGTCACCTTGTATGCTTTGTAAATGTGTAAGTTTTTATATATTTTAACTTATAGTAGATTTGTGTGTATTTTACAGTACTAAATGATAAAATATACTGTCTACATTTTTTTGTTTGTTTGTTTTGAGATGGGTCTTACTATGTTGCTCAGGTTAGTCTCTCGAACTACTAGGCTCAATTGATCCTCTTCAGTGGTTTGACCATTGAAGCAGAAACAGTAGTAATGATAAAATATACTATCTACATTTTTTTGTTTGTTTGTTTGTTTTGAGATGGGTCTTACTATGTTGCTCAGGTTAGTCTCTCGAACTACTGGGCTCAGTTGATCCTCCCGCCTCTGCCTCCCCAGTAGCTGGGATTACAAATGCACACTACTGTGCCATGCATCCACATATATTTTATGTATTATTGACATGCCTAACTTTTTCTTATTTTCCATATTTCTAGGCTACACAGTTTTGTCTCTTTAAGTTTTTCAAATTGTTGCAAATTTCCAAAAACTTTACCCAAATATTATATTGGAAAAAATTGGCATTTAAGTAGACCTTCAGTTCAAACCCATGTTGTTGGTCAGCTGAATATATTTCACAATATCACAGACGTATATATCTTTGCCAAAATTGTATTTCTATAATTAAGTGATGAATAACAAAGTGTTTTATCCTTGGCAAGAGACAAATAAATATTTGAATACTGTTTTATAAAAAACAAATATAAATTTGGGGCTCCATGGAAAATCTTCCAAAGGTATATTTCTGGACTTTTTGCCATTCTCTTCTTATTTCTCTATCATTTCCCACAGATGTAGCCATTTGCATCTACTTCTATTTCTGAGTCTTACTGAATTATCCATGTTCTTCTCCCATTTTTTCACCAGTAATTCTATCTATACACTTCAATGTCATATTCCTATGTCCCTTTCACTGCGAAACTCCCTATCACACAGATCCCACGATTGCCCTCCTCTGCTTCCCAGCACTTGGTTTCTGCTTCATCAGTAACCCTTTTTTTTTTTTTTTTTTTAAAGCTAGATGTATTCATTTTGATCTCCCTCACAAGTCTCTGAGTTCTGTTGTGTTTGTTTCTTGTCTAGGAAGCAGCTCTATTCAGAGTAGTTGTTCATTAACTAGGCAAAGTAATATCATTTGAGGATGCTAAACCTGGGCTTATCCAGGAGTAAACTTTTGTCCTTGTAGTAGTACCTTATCCTAATTGTAGTAACATTAAAAGTTAGAGAGGAAAAGCCATGGGTCTGAGTATTTCATATTATAAATGTTTTACTCTCAGTCTTGTTGCTGCTATTCTATTTGGCCAGTAGTAAAAAATATCCTTACCTTTCCAAAAACAGAAAAATATTAAAAGTAGGGTCACTATCTGTTTCTGGCAGTCATGCTCTGTACTTAATTGTCATTTTTGGTCTTTGTTTGTAAACCAGGGGAAGGCAAGGACATAGCCATATGCCTTGTGGCTTTTTCATGACTATGTATATATGAGTTAAAGTATTATTTTTCACTGTCTTAACATTTTTAACAATGAAAGTAAATACTTGTGATAAAAATTCAAACAATAAGGGCTGGGTGTGGTGGCTCATGCCTGTAATCCCAGCACTTTGGGTGGCCAAGGTGGACAGATTGCTAAGTCAGGAGTTCGAGACCAGCCTGACCTACATGGTGAAACCCTGTCTCTACTGAAAGTACAAAAATTAGCCGGGCATGGTGGCACATGCCTGTAATCCCAGCTACTCAGGAGGCTGAGGCAGGAGAATCACTTGAACCCGGGAGGCGGAGGTTGCAGTGAGCTGAGATCACGCCACTGTACTCCAGCCTAGGCTGGCGACAGAGTGGGACTCTGTCTCAAAAAAATAAAGAAAAATGAAAAAATTCAAACAGTGTAAAGATATACAGAGTAAAAAGTAAAAGTTCTTCATACTCTTAATATTCCTGCTTCTT